TAGACTAAGGGGTATGCTTTTGTGACCCACTGTGTGACACTACAGCCTCCGTGATGAGATTTTTCTTTTTCTATTTTCTTTCCTCTTAAATTTTATTTTGTTTTATCCTGGGGGGGTATGGTGGAGGTTGCAGATGGGAAGATGAATGGGATTGAGATGCATGATGTGAAATTCACAAAGAATCAATTTTAAAAGTGAAATTGGAAAATAAATAAATAAAAATGTCATACATGATATAAAAAAGGCAAATATGATACAAATATTGTAATTAGTTATATATAAAATGTAAACTTTTGTTGGGACTCCAATTCCTAATGCAACAACTGCCCTCCATCTAGTGCATGTATCTACAAATAATTATTATTTATGGACAGGAGTGTGTGTTTGTGTATGTGTGTCCATGGTACACATGTGAAGCTCAGGCAAATACCAACAGGAGCAGGTTATCTCCTTTCACTGTCTCCCAACATTTAGCTGAGTCCTCTTACCAGCCTCCCAATCCCCCCCCCAAAAAAAAACAAAACAAAAAATCAGGGGCTGAAGAGATGGATCATCACTTAAGAGCATTGACTGCCCTTTCAGAAGACCCAGGTTTGAGTCCCAGCACCCACATGGAAGCTCACGATGTCTGTAACTCTAGTTCCAGGGGATGTAACACCCTCTTCTGGCTTCTGAGGGCATCAGGCACACACATGGTACACAGACACATATGCAGGCAAATCATTTATACATGTAAAAAAATAATCAAATACATAAAAAAAAAAAAAAAAAAAAAAAAAAAAAAAACCCAGACTAAAGAGTTCAATTCCCAGCAACCACATAGTGGCTCACAATAATCTACAGTGAAATCTGGTGCCCTCTTCTGGCCTGCAGGCACACATAGAGGAAAATTTTGTAACCATAATAAATAAATCTTAAAAACAAAAACAAACAAAAAACCAAACTATTCAGTCCACCAGCTAGCATAAATTGAAAAAGGACCGGATAATACCAAACAGTAGGGGGAATCATGATTAGGACTTTTATAATAGGATCTTGATAACAGCAATAAATACTTTAGTCTGTGATTTGAAGATGTATAACTGCAAACTGGACAATACACAAATCCCCAAATAACTCTGTGAAACTTTGTGTATAATCTTTGTCCAAGTTCATAAGATAAACCTGATAGTTCAAGAAAATATCACAGGGGTTGAAGAGATGGCCCAGCAGTTAAAGGGTTTGCTGTGTAAACAGCAAGTCTGAGGACATGATTTTGGATCCTCTGGACCCACATAAATGCCAGTGAGCAAGCTTTGGGTTCAAATTGAGAGAGCCTGACTCAATGAATCAGGAAGAATCCAGAGGCGAATTCTGGGCTTCCACATATAAGGACACACACATATATGCACACATATTCACATGTGTGCTGGGGCATATGTGTGTGAATATGTGTATCCACATGCACACACAAATATGCACATGCAGTCCCGGCAGGGTCAGTTACTAACCATTATACACTATCTGTGTGACCATCACCATCCCTGTCGCTTGCAGCTCATGCTATGCTTTTCATGAACCCTCCACATTGGCTTGGGTTTGTAATGTTCCATGAGGTCATCAGCTTGGCACAGTTTGAAATGGGATGGTATCTTCAAGTGGGGCTTAGCAAAGGAAGCTGGTCATGTGGCCAGATATTTGGGCTCTAGGCCCTCCTCTCCTTCCCTCTTTCCTCTCTCTGTCTCCTTCCTGCTCTGAAGGTAATGGGTCTCCCCTGCTGTGATCTTCTTTGCTGCCAGTCTGGAGCAAGAAATTAAAGCCATAGGGACTGAAACCATGAGATTAAGAAACCCTTGCTCCTTTGTTTTTGTGTGGAGAGAGGGTTGAGACAGGTCTCTCTATGTAAGTGTGACTGTCCTGGAACCTAATATGCAGACCAGGCATATTAAGAGATCTTCCTGCCTCTGCCTCCTGTGTGATGGGATGAAAGGTGTGCGCCACCATGACTGACCCAACCTTTGCCCTTTTAAGTTGATCTTCCTAGAGTGTTTTGTTACTGACTCAGAAAGATGACTAGCACACCGTCCGTTTCATCCTAACCAAGAGAATGTGAGAAAAGTGGTGGGAAGTGTTGTTATGATTGACATATCTTTCTTGCTAGTGAACTTATTCTATATCCTCTAGTGACTAAAATATCTTCCCTGGGGGAGACATAAGCACTGTCTTCCCCACTTCCTAAGGTCAACAATAAACTAAGGCATGGAGTCTGGAGTCTAATGAGTTTTTTGGGGGGCCTCCTTACAGAGCATAAAAGAGGGGCTACTCACAGGGATGTACACACTCCCCTTCACAACAGGTCACACCTGGAAAGACTTTACCAGGCAGCAATGAGGACTTCTCCAAAACCTCATAGATGGAGTACTCTCCTCTAGTCTTCCCTGGCCTATATACTCTATTCCCTCCTCAAGGACACATGCAATCAAGGCAGAGTTGTGTACAACAGGTCAGAGGGAGCAGCTGGACACTCAGGAGAGGGTCTGTCTTCTGATCCCCTGCCTCTCCCTGAGGGGTGTAAACAGTCACCAAGCCCAGCTGGGGTGACCCTTTCACAAGAGGGTGTAGCTGCACTCTCTAAGATGGTGGTTCCTTGGCCAGGAGGACAGTGACTCACAGCACCACTCCCTGTGGTTGTGATGAGGTTATAGGCATGTTTAGGAAACTTAACACAACAGAGAGCCGAGATACCTGTGGGCTCTAAGAGCTTATCACCGTCTCAAAGAGCTATGAGGTGCTGTTGCTGGGGGACTGTCAGCTCTTGGTCATGCCCACAGCCCCACCACTGTCTGGGGAGGAATTCTTCCAGTTACCAGTCAGATGCATAGGTGGGAACGCTGCTCAATCAGTGCTGTGATTACAGCTGTGTGAAACCCCAAGCAACACAGCCAGCCACAGCTAACGCCTAAACCATAGGAATGGAAACAATAGGTCTGTTGTCTGCAGTGTTGGGTCTGCAGCAATGTTCTGGGCAGTGAGATAATGGATATGCTAATCTATTTAGATTTGTACTTTTAAACTGCTTTTATTTATTTATTTATTTATTTATTTATTTATTTATATTTCCTGAGACAGGGTCTCTCTGTGTAGCTTTATAGACCAGGCTGGCCTTGAACTCACAGAGATTCAGCTGCCTCTGTCTCCTGAGTGATGGGATTAAAGGTATGTGCTACTACCTCCTGGCTTTAGAAAAAAAAAAAAAAGATTTATTTACTATGTATACAATGTTCTGCCAGCATGCATGTTTGCACATCAGAAAGAGGGCACCAGATCTTATTACAGAAGGTTGTGAGCCACCCTGTGGTTGCTGGGAATAGAACTCAGGAACTCTGGAAGAGCAGCCAGTGCTCTTAATCTCTGAGCCATCTCTCCAGCTACCCTGCTTTTATTTTTAAGTAATTGAAAATTCTAGAAATGAGTATTAAGAGAAGTCTAAGGAGGCTGGGGAGATGGCTCAGGGTGTAAAGGCAATTGCCACTAAGCTTGAATTCTATCTCCACGACTTATGTTGCACACACACACACACACACACACACACACTCGAGTTAAGCAGGAAGCAGGCTAAATTGGTGTTAAAATTTGAAGCAGGTGAGGGCAATGAGGGCAGGGGCTATTCTAACCTCCCAGGCAAGAGTTTCTGAATGATCATGAGCTTCTCATTCAGTAACCAGAAAACAATGGGTATAAGGTTGTGAACAGAATGGCTGTGGACTTAGAACAACATACCCAGCTTAACCTTTTGATATGTAGAAATATGCCCTCTTTCAGAAAATGTGTTTGCACGAGTTATTTCAATCAAATGTGAGTCAGCAAAAACAGTTTAAGGAAAAAAAAAAAATCCATGATTTACAAGAAAAGGTAGCCGAAGATAAAACCAGTGAGGATTATACTTAAATCTATGTAGTTAAGGTATGGTCATAGAGTTGAGGGAGGTCATTCAGTAGGATTATAAAATGGGACAGGGCTGGGTGTGTAGCTCAGCAGGACAATGCTCGTCTGGCTTGTATTTGGCTCTGAGTTCAAACTAACTCACTACAAAAACCAAGCAAAATAAAGTTAACTATAAATAATAGAAGTATTTAGAAACAAAATATATTTGGGTAAGGTAAAAATTTAAAAATAACAATCTATAAGTTTAGTTTCAGATTTTTCATGGGGAGGGGATGGGAAAGAGTCTTTCTGTGTGACGTGGGATGACCTTGAATGTCTAGTCATCCTGTTCAGCCTCCTGAGTGCTTGGAGGAGTATGCTGACACCACACCCAGCTGCATTCAGATTTGTAAAAGGGAAACCTAGGAAATGACAGAGTAGAAGAGTAGGAGGAGAACCGATGAACAAGGTCTACAATTTCTATCTTCTAGGAGGAAAGATGTAAAACTTGAATCAATTAACACTTGAGTTTTTCAATGAGGGTAGACATGAAATCTTAAGCTTTGTCCTTTGGCTTAAGGGCAGCCAGCCTACTAACAAAGATTATTGCCTATTCTTTTTAGAACAACTCAGCAAAATAAAATTCTGGTTTGTTGTTGGACATTGTTTCATACAAACATCAAACAGGCCAAAAAACAAAAAAACCAAAGCAAACAAACAAAAAAACCCCCAGCAACTTCATAGACAAAAAAAAGGAAGGAAAAAAAAAAAAAAAAAAAAAGAAACCTTTTATCTTTGGCTTTTTTAACCATCTCATACAAACCAACTACTTATAGTACAGCTAGGTACATACACAAAAAAAAAAAAGTTACTGGAATGCTCAGAATAAGATTGCTTTTTTTGTTGTCGTTTTTGTTTTTTTTTTTTTTTTTACAAGGTTTTTTTTTTTTCTCCTTTTGAAATTATAATGAACATGGACATACCACAAGTAAGGTCAGTTAATAGGACAGATCGCTCTGAAGGCTGGTTTGGTCACCCATTATCATTAAAAATGGCTGACCCCCTAACAATATGTACAAAAATATAAAATGTAAATAAAAAATACAAACAAATTTTCCTTTTAAAGTATTTTTAAGAAAAAAAGCAGGGCCTTGGAAGTTTTGGTTTTCTTTCCTCCCCTGTTGCAAATTCATGTTGTGGTTTTCGTGGGGTGGCAGAGAGCGCATGTCAACTGTGGGTGGTACTGCCTGCTATGGGTGGGCGGGGCCTGCTCCTCTACTCGAAGGTGACCATGTTTAAATTCTGAGACAGGAAGTGGAGGGTGAATAGGTCACAGTGGCCTTAAGTTTAGCTTTTCCTTTCTGCTGTCTAGTCATCCTCATCAGTCTTCTGCTTCTTGGTGTCAACGTCATCATCCTCATCATCTTTAGCTACCCGCTTGCCCGTAGGAGCCTCAGCTTCAACTTCATCTCCATCATCTTCCTCACTGTCACCTTCCTCCTCCTCCTCTTCCTCCCCACCTTCTTCCTCTTCTTCATCTACCTCATTGTCAGCCTCCTGCTCCCCATTTTCCTCATTATAATTCCCATTGGCTGGTGAGTCTCTTCCATTCTCTGCCTCCTTCACAACTTCCTTCTTCTCCTTCAAGTCCTTAGTGGTGATCTCAGAGCTGGTGTCCATGGCCGTGTCTGACATGGTGGGGCACGCCGGTGATCTGCTGCAGCGAGGGAGGAGAGAAACAGGAGTTCGAGGACTCTGGCGAGAAAGCTGCCAGAGTCCACTGTGGAGGAGGAGGCAGGAGGGAGGCGAAGGTGGCTGCAGCGAGCACGGAGCAGGACCCGGGAACAATGCAATGATGGCTTCTCAGAGCAGCCAGTCTATTGCCTATTCTTAAGAGCATCATTTCACCAAAATGTTAACCAGTAGAAGAATAAAAGCATAACTCTGAAAGGAAAAAGGGAGAAAGAGGCAAACATGTGCACAGTACACTTTATGCCAGCATTCTGTGTACCTCACAGATTAGGAGCTCCTATGGGGAGAGGCATCTGAGTAGGACTGTCTCCTTGTTTGAGTGGCCACACTGGGCCTTGTACTAGGTGAAATCTCACATTATGTGGAAAGGTCTAAAGACCCTAGTGACTTTGCTTACAGTATGAAAACCAGGACAACAGAACACCTCATCTGTCCTCATCCCAGGTGGTAGCATCAAGAGGAGTCAGTTACTCACTGGTGATACCAGCCCTGGCATTGGAAACAGAAGTCTTGCTAGTTCAGGCTAAAGTAAGCCCAGGTGTTGCTGGTACTGTTGGTCTATGGCTAGAGATTATTATTGGCAAGCTCTGTCTTAATTATGAATCTATTTCTATAAATCTATGTATTTCCACATGGTCTTGGCTTCCTGGAGAATGCCCGGACTTGTTACTCCTTTGGTGACTACATGGTATAATCTCCATAAGCTCTCTCTCTCTCTCTGTCTCTGTCTCTCTCTCTCTCTGCCTACTATTCCCAGATTTCTCCTCGTCTCCTAGTCCCGCCTATCTTCCTACCTCTATTGACCAAACAGTGCTTATTCATCAACCAATAAGAGAAACACATATGCAGAAGGACATCTCCAACACTTAGGGATCTTTGGTCAATGGAGAGGATAAAGAAGCAGCCACTTTGGGAGGGAGACCTAAGCTTCTGCTGGAAGCATGTTGGGGTATGTGATTAAAGGGACAAAAAAAGAGCTATTATCTGTGATGTTGCTTCAGCCTAATGAGAATGGTATATTGTAGTGAGATAATCCTTCTGTAGCACTGACCACGCCCATTGGGGGGTGGAGCGATGGGCGGAGGTGACCTGAGGAAGGAGGTCGGAGGGGGCCAGGAAGGCGCTCTCTCTTTCTGGCGTGACTCGGACAGGAGAGGATCGGGTTGAATTTATTGGTGTTCATCTGTCTAGGTTGTAAGTTATTTTTCCCTGAATAAACATCTATTTGGCCTATTTGTTTATCCTGATCTTTATTTACCGCAATATCTGGTGTCAGAAGTGGGATCCATTGGAACAATCATCGTCCCATTTCAGCAGGAAGTAATCTTAATATGACTACGCCCCCTTTCCCTACCCTTGAAATTTTGGGATAATAGTCATCGTCTTTGGGTTGGTTTTAGTTATTTGGGATTGGGTGATGCTTACACTCGGGTTTATCTTTTAGACAGGAATAGGGAATGGTTGGTAAAGGTATGGTTTAGATGGGATATAGGTAGATTAGCCTATTTTCTTGAGAATTTGAGTAAGAATGAGATAGTATTTTACAGCTTACATTGTTGTGTATTCTTATGTGGTAAGCTATATAAAATTAAGTTTATATTTTGTTATATTGTGTTAAATGTTTCCACTTATAATATTTTATGCACATTATTTTTTACCATATTCTATGTATGTATACTTTTCCTGTATTCAAGACATTTTGTATATTGATACAATTTGGGATATTTATCTTGCTGCCCTTTATAGTTCTACCTCTTGTCTTGACACTTATACTCTACCTCTATTTTAGGGATTTACATGTAGGTATATGTAAATAGTTATATTGTTTAAGTATTTGTTCCTGCTTTACTCAGGAAAGTTTTAATCAGTCTTTTTAGCTAAGTCCCCGAGTATTACAGATTATCTTCACTCACATTTCCTGTACCTATAAAATTAGTCAGATATAGATGCTTAATCTTCAATCACTTCATAGACATGCAAAACATGGCATTTAAATGTTTTAATATTAGTACTCCATTGACATGAGACACTGTTGCTCCTGACAGCACCATGCACTTTCCCGAAAATATGTTGGACACTGTTGTTGCTCCTGCTGGAGTTCAATCTCGCCTCAGCTAATGGCCTGTTGGGCATAGAATTGCCCCCACCTTGACCACTGATTTGGACATGCAGGAGAGGATCGGGTTGAATTTCCTGGTGTTCATCTGTCTAGGTTGTAAGTTATTTCTCCCTGAATAAACATCTATTTGGCCTATTTGTTTATCCTGATCCTTATTTACCGCAATAGTATTGTTCATTTCTGATTACTTAATCCCTCCTCAAGTGTGTTCGTGCATGCGCGCGTGCATGCGCACGCACGTGTGTGTGTGTGTGTGTGTGTGTGTGTGTGTGTGTAGCATAATACATTTGTGGGAAAGTATGTACCTGTAAGTGCACACAAGCCAAAGGAGGATATCAGGTATCTTATTGTATCATTCTCCACATTATTCCTTTGAGGCTGGGTCTCTCAGTAAACCTGGAGATGGGCAGTAAGTCCCAATGACCTTCTTGCTTCTGCCTCCCACAGTGCTGGGGTTACAGGTGAGCATGTGGAGCAGAGCTGCTTTTTTTTCAGTTTTACATGTACTTTTTTTGCTCATCCTTTGAACAAAATAGGAATTGGAGCTAAAATAAGGTTGAAATCAATGGTTCCAAGACCGATTAATCATAAGAGAACTAGTTTAGAGTTAGATGTTAGGTGTGGTCAGCTGTGGTGGCACATACCCTTAGTCCCAGCACTGGGAAGGCAGAGGCAGGTTGATCTCTGTGAGTTCGAGGCCAGCCTGGTATACAGAGCTAGTTCCAGGACAGGCTCCAAAGCTACAGAGAGACCCTGTCTCAAATCTCAAAAAACAACAACAAAAACAAAAACAAAAACAAAAAAAAAAAAAAAAAAAAGAAGAAGAAGATGAAGATGTTAGGTGTGTTAGGTAATTGGAACAGACATTCACTTTAGCAGATGACACTTCCAGGAGTCAGAGGGCTCCCACACAGCTCTGGATTATATACTCACCATGACAAATGTGAAAGCCAGGGGAAATCCTATTATGTAAACCTCTCCTAGGGAGAAGACTAGGTAGCTGGAAAACATTCATTCACTTATTCATTAAATATTTACGAGAGCTTTTGTATGCTCAACATCATTCTGGGTGCTGGGACGATTAGTGACTAGAAAGTCCAAGGCCCTGCTCTCATGGAGAATGTCCCCATGGGGAACACAGCAATAAATAACAAGTGTATAAAATAGCAGTGACAGGGGTTATAAAGAATGCTATGCGGTGAGATGGGAGATCAGAGCATGTCTGTCAACTTGACTTTGAGCAGAGATCTAAAGCAGGGTGGTGTGGGGGGAGGGGAGCAAGAAGGAGAATAAGCCAGAGAGAAGCAGAAGTTCCTTGACTCTGAAGAACAGTGAGATGCTGGATGACCAGAGGGGAGGAGTGAGGTCAAGATGCTTGTATAAAGTGTGCTAGGATACGAGGCATCTCAGAGGACTGTCACTAAGAATTGTTCTAAGATGTGTAGCCCAGTATCATCTGTTTTCTGAGTAGGGACCTTTTTCTTGAGTGTGGGGTTGGAGATGTAAATTTGGCAAGCTGAGCCTCTCCCTCAGAGCCTAGAGGCTGGGCTATCTCACCTGCACTGTCCTCTGGACACTTCCCATCTCTTTAATACATGGTGAGTTAGTACCACAGAATGGATATTAAAGAGTTTTAAATTATTGGCCTGCCTATCTATGAAGATTGTGACATGTACTTATTTTTCAGTTCTATTATTTTGTTCAGTATGGGAGTTTTCCTATGACTCCAGAATAGATTCTAGTAATGAAGAATTTGGCTTTGGTTTAATATTTACTACTTTGACTTTTCTAATAACATGCTCTTAGTTTCCACTTATTTTAAGGTACATTTTCTGCCTTCCCATTGCTTTATTCTTTATAATATCAATTTAAAAATTACAAAATCTGTGTGAGGAAAATAGGTCTGATATAGAGAAATTCCTCCTGTAATTATTGTGTAGATGGCATAGCCATCTTTTACTTTAAATTTTTATTTATAATCATTATTTATGTATATATGCCTATGTGTGTCTCCCATAGCTATCATACACACACACACACACACACACACACACACACACACACAGTAGCAGCAATGATAATTTTCTCCCCTGGTAGTGGGCATATCACCTTCCAGCACTTTGAAAGCTATTCAGTAGGGATGAAGCTTCAGGTGAGTATAAGCTTGATTTCTTTGTGTTCTATGACTCAAGTGTGTGGTGTCATGTGCCATAGGGTCTGACCATCAAGTTGTGGAGGGTAACCAAGAGTGTTGACAATAGCCTGTAATGTTTGGGGGTCCATGACCTCACTGACAAATAATTCCAAAGGAGGTAACACATTCCTATTAGAATATAAGCATGCCATCCATCTTACCCAGCTGTGAACCCTGGGAGCTACAATAATGGCTGACCTGGCAAAACATGACTATTGGTGTAACAGTGGTGTCAGTGTCATGGGAGTAACCAACCAACCACTTTATGACTAGATTAGGGGCTTACTCCACACATTTAAACCCATACCTTGCACTGAAATCAGTGCGAAGAACTTGTGACTAGGTAGGTCATAGGCACTATGGGGAGAACCTACAGCAGTTACTCTGCTAAATGGGCACAATATGAAGCTGACTCCTGATGACTTACCATTACACACATACTGAGGTTTAGTTCTCAAGTTCTTCATATTCTAGATGCGAATCCTCTGATAGAAGTGTAGCTCGTAAAGATTTCTCTGATTCTGTTGTACCTACCAGAAAACAGACTTCAGATCGCTTATAACTGAATTACATACAGATGGTTGTGAGCCACTAGGTAGGCATTAGGAATTAAACCCAGGTCCTCTGTAA